CAACCTGACAGGATGATGGGTGGCGATCCACCCTCATTGTATCGTGCAAAAGCCAGATCTAGGCGATTCGCGGGGCGAAATCACTGTCGAGGGTCGATCCCGAACGGTGGCGGACCGGCGGACCAAGATCGAAGGAAACCGCTATGTTTGGAGCTCCCTCAGTCGACGATCAAAACATGTGAAGGATGCGCGACCGCAGACCAGGATCAAATGGTGATCCGGAACCCTGGGGAGGAGGCGAGATAGGATCGCCGGGATGTAGCCATCATACGCTCCGAGGCGAGTAGCCAGGATGAAGATTACCCCTCGACGACCGCGGGCGACGGTTCAAGGACTCAGGTCAACGCACCTGATGGCGAACACAGGTCGCCGTCACAGATCAAGGTAGATCGGGGCGAGATCAGGACGGCCGATCAAGGATCGATCCAAGACCGATCAAGATTCGATCAAGATACCCGATCGAGGAACGCACCTGATGGCGAACACAGGTCGCCGTCACAGATCAAGGTAGATTGGGGCGAGATCAGGACGGCCGATCAAGGATCGGTCAAGGACCGATCAAGATTCGATCAAGATACCCGATCGAGGCCCGATCGTGATCTTCGATCCCAAGATAAGGTATGTATCCAGATTTTAGGCAATCGTAGGAGAGCAGTTGAGGATGAGTTAGGAAACATAGGGATTAAAGTAAACAGACTCGAATTTGCTCTAGGCCACACAAGTGTCCGACTTCGCCTGGAACCGGGGATATTTTGCCCCCTCAAGCGCGTAGACGGTAAGGACATAAGATCTAGCGTAGCGGTTAAGACTGGATAATATATTGGCCAGCTTTGCCCTACCTAGTGACTTGTCCTCAAGAGTTAATTGTTAATCGGAAGGCATTGGTTGCTTGGCCTAACGGTTACACCGGATCTCGACCCAACAAGTTCCCCGCTATTGGAGGCGGCAAGCACATCAAGGAAGGAGCAAGATCTCCACATTTGGACCATACTAAGACCTGGATCAACAACCAGGCTGCTCGATCGCGACACAAGGAACCGTCAGCGACCGAGATCAACCCAGATCGAGGTAGAGCGAAGAAGTTCCGCGCTATCTCCAGCCCCTGCGGTCTATCCTTGCCGGATATATATCGAACGAGTCACCCAGGAGAGCGTAACCCGCCCGCCGTCGGGTACACAAGGTGAGCAATACACAACCAGATCACGGATCATCGGAGGACGCCCTTCGTTAGTCGGTGTCCGGGCGCAAGTGGTATCGGGAACCGCAGATCACAAGATTTTCACGGATTCCGCTTCACCACAAGTATACATACTCCTAGTGAACGGCAGTTTAAGAGTGGTCTCAAGCCCACATGGGGTTATCCATGGGTTCTCCCCGAGAAAACTGCGTCGTGGAATTACGCCGAGGACCTTGTCTGGCAATGGGTCCGGTTGACATTTAAGTCAACGCAGGAGTACAACAAACCCCGTGACGAAGATCAGCTGGAGGACATCCTCCACCTCGGGGACCTTCGTGTCCAGTTTGCCCACCTTGTAGGCAAACGTCAGCTCCATGATCAGTTGGAGAGGCTGAGAGCTGAGTCTCAGTCCAGTGCTCACAGTGAGCGCGGGTATGGAACACATACGCCTGTGTTCCAACCCCGTTCAGCGGCTAAGAAGCCGCGGGCTACTTACGAGGCCGCCGCCGCGCCTCTTCCCAGTACGCGACAGCCTTCGGGCAGTCCACCTGAAGCCGCTCAAATCGGCTCCCAAGTACTCTGCGACGCTGGGTACCCGCCCCATTTCACTCAGAGCTGGCGCTTCCCACCGCGACGCCGCTCCTGGTGAACCCGCTCCACATGGTAGTGGCGTTCTCCGTTCCGGTCAAACAAGTCCGGAGGAGGCCTCGCTCGACTACTCTTTCGAGCCGTCCCCAGCGTTGGGGACTCCGAGGTCTTCGACTGGACTTCACGACCAACTTGTCGCTCTGCAACAGGAGGAAATCCGACTCCTCCGAGCACGTGTTCTGGCGCTTGAGGTTGCCCTTGGTATTGGGGAAGGCGGCCAGGCTGCTTCTGCAACCGGCCAGCCTGGTGTCTTGCGCCAGTTGGAAGACCTGCGTCTCGGGAAGCAGGATCTTCATGGTCGTGTAGACCGTAGTGCCTCTTCGCAGGCACTTGACTCTCTTCGTCAAGAGGTCTACGACCTTCAGGCGACGAGGTCTCTTCGGGAGTCGCTACCTTACGCGCACCCCCGTCGTCGTACGACTCGCGCCTAGGGGCCTACTCGCTTGGCCCCTCGGTGTACTCACCACGCTCGTACCTTCCACCGGGATACGGCTTGCCCCTGGGACTCCTATTACCTGGGGCGCTCTGCGCCTGACTCTCAACCGCGCGTCGAGGAGATTCAATCACCTCCTCGCGGCCTCTCTCAACGTCTTGAGGAGGTGCATGACCCTGAGGATCATGGTACCGCTACAGACGACCCACATAAAACGTCGGGTGGGTCGTTATCGACTTAGGCAAGTCGATCATATAGGCAGCGCCGTGCCTACCCAGGACCTTGAAAGGTCCAATGAAGCTATACTTCAACTTGTTGCTCACCATGGAGCTAACAGTGTTTAGAGGTAGGTTCCTAGTGTCGAGTAGCACTAAGTCACCCACATTAAACACGTTTAAATTTCCTCTTCCATGTTGGTCTGAGTACTCCTTTTGTTTGTCCTGTGCGAGAGCCATTGCATCTCGCTCCCGGCTGATCACATTCAGCTTGTTGCCGACAAATGCCGACAACTTCCTCCACAACGCGGCTGGTTCCACACCGGAAACCTGGGAGAAAAGCTCTTTCCGAGCCTCTCCCCCACTTACGCTTGAAGCCGCGGTGCCACCACCCAGTGTGAGCGGCACCTGGGGGTTCCGAAGCAAAACGGCGTGAACCCCGTTGACGCGTGCACCGCGTTGTTGAGTGCAAAATCAACCATAGCCAGCTACGATAACCAAGAGCGCGGCGCCTCAGCGCAAACGCTGCGCAGTACGTCCTCAACCACCCGGTTGACGCGCTCAGTTTGTCTGCGGATGGTCCGCTGTTGACATCGTCAACCGTGTTCCAAGCAATTGGAACAGCGTTTTCCAAAACGCAGCGGTAAACCGCGGATCACGGTCAGAGACAACAGTCTCAGGCACCCGTGATAGCGGAAGACGCTATCAAGGAACAACTTCGCAGTCTGTTCCCCGGTAATGGTCTCTGAGACCGGAGCAAGATGCACCATCCTGCTCAACCGGCATACAAACACTACAATGCCGGTGTTCTTCTGGTCATCGGCCGGAAGGTCGAAGACAAAGTCGAGACTCATCGACTTTCAGCAGTCCAGTGGGACGGGCAGGCTCTGTAGTGGAGCCGACACGTGACCTGTTGGCTTAACTCGCTGACATGTTTCATATGTCTTGATGTACTTGGCCACCCACTTGTACAAGTGGGCCATCTGAGAGACCTCGTGATAGGTCTTCTCTCGGCCCAAGTGGCCACTCGAAGGCACATCGTATGCCTCATGAAGTATACCATACTTCAGATCCTCGTCGTTCGAAACAACGACTCGCGGTGGATCCCCGGGCTCCACCTGATAGTGGAGTAGGCCATCGACCCACTCATAGCGGTGGCGTCGTGCCCGCTGTCGAGGCGTAAGCCACTCGACCTTGGCATCCGTGCCAGCGGATACATACCGCACAATAGGGACGAGGGTGTCATCGTCCCGATACGCCAAGCGTATTCGATCGTAAAGATCCGTCGTGACCCGACTAATATGAGCTAACTCATAGTCGGGCCTGCGCGACAAAGCGTCGGTAAGCGTGTTTAGCATGCCAGGCTTGTGTTCAACGCAGAAGTTGTACTCCCCGAAGAATGACAGCCAACGCGCCATCCGCTGCGATAGATGCGGCGTATGGATGGCTGTCCGCAAAAATGCGTGGTCTGTATAGACCACAAAGGGCCTTGTGCCCAGAAGATGCACCCTGAATTTGACAAGGGCGTACTTCATTGCCAAGGGTTCCTTGTCATGAACGGGGTAATTCCGTTCGGCAGCTTTCAGCTGCCTGGACTGGAACGAGATCACCCGATCCCGTACCTCCTCGTCCTGTTGCAAAAGCGCACAGCCAATTGCGTACTCGGAAGCGTCACAGACGACGCTAAACGACTTGGCATCGTCCGGCAATGACAAGACGGGCACGCATTGCAAGCTCGCCTTGATGCTGTCAAACGCATAACCAGCACTATACTTGTGCAGGTAATTGGCTAAACCCAGCCACTTCCTCAGGTCCTTCTGCGATCGAGGGACAGGCAATGCCGCAATGGCTTTGGCCTTGTCAGAATCCGCTCGGACCCCGACGCTGCTGACGAAGCGGCCGATGAACTTAATCTCCTCAGCTGCGAAGACGCACTTGTCGATGTTGGCATAGAGCTTGTTAGCTCTCATGACCTCAAACACCCGACGGAGGTGCTCCTGATGCACCTCCATAGCCGTCTTGCCGCCCTATGCACGGCTATGGACGAATATATCGTCAAAGTACGTCTGCATGAACACACGCAAAGGTCTAAACAACGGTGTGACCAAGCGATTGAAGATCGATGGTGCGTTGGATAGACCTTGTGGCATAACCAGCCACTCCCAGAGCATACCGCTCGGCGTGCTCACGGCCGTGAGCAGGATATCACACTCCCGCATCAGGATCTGGTGGTATCCATCTACCAGATCCAGCGCACTATACAGCGTGCAGCCGGCCATGTTGTTCAATAACACATCCTTGCGAGGGATCGGCGTCTGTGTTGGCACAGTCGCGCTGTTCAGCTTATTGTAAGCATGAACCAGACGCCACTTACTGTTCGGCTTGCGAACGCAGAAAGGTGGCGTCGAGTGCGGGGACTTCGATTCCTGCACCATTCCCGCTTTCGCCTTCGCGGCGAAGAACGCGGCAATGACGTCACTCTGCTCTCGGGGCAGGGGCCATTGACACAATACTTTGTGCCTGGCACGAGATCAACCTCATACCTGATCCCTCGGTCTGGAGGGGGCTTTGAGGGTGGGTCCTTGGACACCACGTCCTTAAACTCCTTCGCTAAAGGATACAACAAATCCTTTAGATTCTCCAGAATCTCGGAGCCCGTGCGCGACCCACGTTGCTTCCGGAACTCCTCCAGGACATCCTCATCCATCACAGAGGAGGAGTTCAACTCTTCTGGATTGGGCTCCAGCCTAAGGAAAAACCATATCCGAGATCTCCCCGGCCTTCAACTCGACCAGGAAGTCCTCCATCGCGACTTCCTCGCGGTTCAATAGCTCTGATACCTCAGGCAGAGGCGCCAACTCGATGGCCCCTGCCTTCACACGATGCCCAGTCACGCCGTCAAAGGTGTGATAGCACTCTTCGACCGGCCGTGACCCAGGAGCCTGGTGCTCCTGCCCTAAGTCCTCAAGGACTTCCTCGGGGTGGTATTCCACCAACCCCGGCTTACGACCATGGCGTGGAGTTAACTTACCCACGCCCGGTGGTGCCACTACCTCGGCATCACGAGCCCTCATGGCTCCATGCGGAATTGCGTAACCCGCTTAGGAGACACCCTTGGTGTCTTCCTGATCAGTTATGGTCTGAGCGACCTTGCGTCGAACTACTTCTCGTACGCCTGGTGATGCCACTACTTCGCCATCACGAGCCATCTTGGCTCCCTGCGGAACTCTTTCATCCGCTTGTGGACCTAAGTTACCCACCTGGTTAGTGCCCTTGGGCACTACTACAGTCGCAGCCTGTACGCCGCTGCGACTTTGTGCATGGAGCTCTGCTGCAGTTGCAGACCCACACGTAGGGCAAGGGCCTCCGCCCATTGCCCCGGCCATCCATGGCCAACGATCACTTCTCGTGTGGGGCGATGTAGTATCCACTACACCAGCCACCAAAACCGCCTGGGACGCTGCGGCGACCTCGATGTGAGGCTTACCGTCCATTAGACAACTGTCATTCCCGTGCCCGACGAGACAAACGTGTGACTTGTGACTGTTCTTCACTATTATCGGGACGCTCCGAAGCGTTCGGATCTCATGGTTCGAGAGAGCATGTGAGCAACGAACTGTTCCAGTACGTCTACGTGATCGACGTCTTCTTCGGCGAGCCGCATACGCTCAGAGTACTCCTTCCAACCACATTTGGGTTGAGCGAATACCCATAAGGCGTTGTCCGTCATTTGCTGGTAAACCATAGGTGCATTTTTAAGCCCAAAGGGCATCCAGCGCCATTCAAAATGCCCAAGCGCGCAGACAAAAGCAGGTACCTTCCGAGCTCTCTCCGTCGTCATCACAGCCCAGAACCCGCTTGCCTCATCAAGAGAGCAAAACCGTAAGTACGCCTCCATGTCGGTCAATAAACCATCTACCAGGGGGATTGCATACTCCATAATGGTCGTAACAGCATTTACTCGCTTGTAGTCGATGCACAGTCGGATGTCGACCCCGTTCGTCTTCAGCACTATTACAATGGGCGATGTCCAAGGGCTGTCGGAGAACGTTATCAAACCTCCTCGTAGTAGTCCTTTCAGCAGCTCGTCTAACTTTTCCAGTACCCGTAATGGCGTTCGGCGTGCCCTCTGCTTGATCGGCATGTGCCCCTGCACATCAATGTCACATACCACGCTGTAGGCTGGCGGTGGTAGTGCGTTACAACTAGCAATCATAATCTCTTCATGACACTGTAAAATCTCAACGACTTTCTGTTGTTCATCTTCGCCTAGACTCTCACTCATCACATTCGGTCCGGTGTAGTCTAGCACTGTCGACGAGGCTCAATCAAGTCTGGCAGGAAAGCTAACTCGAGAGCGTAGTCAGCTAGTTCCATCTCGTTCGGAATGTGCTCGTACCGATCGTCATCAGTCCCCTTGTCGTCAGCAGCAATATCTGCTTCGATCTCTTGCATCACGGAGATGTAGGTCAATTCCAACATGTCGACCGACTCTTCGGCTGGATCTTTCTCATCGTCCCCGACGTCCGAAAACTCTGTTGGTTGCGTGTTGGGTTCTTCGCTCGTCTCTTCATCGACTCCTACGGCTGCCGAGGCCTCACTGTCGTTTCGCATCCTCGCACTACAGTGGCTGTTCATGCCATCACCCCTGCCATCTGGTCCTGAATGGTTCAGTGCACTCTTCCTGGGTGCTACCGAGTCCCCGGTCGTCCTTGTTAAGATGCGCGCAGGTGTTTTGTACTCCTGTCGCTCTACCGCCGGTGGTTGTTCTGCTAACCAGCACTCGTAGATCTCTTTCTCCTTCTGCAGCAGAGTGTCGTCTCACCCTTCGGCGTATGCTAGTACCTGCCATTCGTTATACTTATTCGAGTCAGGCCTGACATACTCCACTTCGCGTGGGAGCTCTCCCTTGTGTATCCACCGTATCACAGAGGAGTGCTTGTAGCACCGAGCTATCCCGTCCGATACGTTCGTCAGGCGGACCCACACAGGCTTGCCCCCTGCGGGACTCCATCACCGTCGGTACCATTTGTCTGGTCCTTCTTATCCATAACGCGTGTGTCGCTCGTGAGGGTCTTTTCGAGGCAGTCGGAATTCGCGCCACTCGCCCCGTGGGATTTACAAGTCCTCGGTCGGTCCATCGACGACTTGGGCTCCATACGGTTCCTCATCCGCGGCACCCGCCGACTTCACCAGTGGTACGGTGACCTCATCCGGTAGTCTGGCAGTGCCGTGGAATAGATCCAATCGTACACCGGCAGGGATCATGAAGTCCGTCCCAAGCACTACGTCAACGCCTGCACTATGCTCCATAATCCACATTTCGAACTCGTACACCCGCTCCCATCCAAGGGTGATCTTAACGAGAGTTCGTCGTCGGGTCTTAAACACCCCAGGGATGATACCTCCTACTTCCAAACTGCGGCCATGATCGGACACCTCACGTAAGCGCAGTCGCTTAGCATATGCGGCCGATATCACGCTGACATTAGCTCTAGTATCGAGCAGAATCCTCGTCCGAGTATCATCAATGGCACCCATGACTACGGCTCTCATTCTCTTCCGTTTGTCGTATCGTTGGGATGACCACCACCTCAGTCTCTCGCTGGTAGCAGCTTAACAGTTCGAACGAGGCTTCAAGACGATGTCTCGTTCGGTCCCCAGCTCGAAGCCGAAATCTCTGTCAGGTACCCATCGTATTCTCCGGCGTCCACTTCGCCCGCCTCGTTCTCACCGAGGCTTCTATCGTTTCCTTCTACAGTTTCCGTGGTATTCATAAATCCCATCTCGCGGTCTTCGAGCAATTTCACCTCTCCTATGAAGGCAAACAAATAGTCTGCATCTACCGCGGGTTCAGCTACCTGTGGCAGCCCGATAGGAACCAACCCAGTTTCAGTTGGCGGGCTGCCTAGTTTAAATGATTCCCGTACACCACACTTTGTAGCATCGGTGTCAAATCATTCTTGTCGACCTTCGGCCGGAGGGGGCTAGCAAGTTCATTGAAGGCTTCGCACTTCCCGGCATCATAGACTTGTTCACACATTTTGCACCGTTTGTAGCAGTAGTGTAGTGAGTGGGTCAGCCCTCCGCATGCTGTGCAAAGACCATACTGCTGCCGTCCGTTGCGGTTGTCGCGGGCGAAGCCTCAGTCATTGTTGAAATGGCCATCACTCTTGGTCCGTCGGTTGTCTGTCCGGGCGAACGTCCCTTCTGCCGCCGCACGGTACTCGTGGTCGTTTCCCGCTGCGACGTGACCGCGCTCATCCTCACCAGAGTAGTAATACTCTGAACCTCTGTTCGAATATAGATCTTCATCGTCTCGGCGTTCTCCGGCATCGAACGAGTCCTTGCGCTCGTGGTCGTTTGCCGCTGCGACGTGACCGCGTTCATCCTCACCAGAGTAGTAATACTCTGAACCTCTGTTCGAGTATCGGTCTTCGTCGTCTCGGCGTTCTCCGTCATCGAACGAGTCCTTCTTGTTCGACTCGTATTCTTGGTCGTACGACGCTTGCTGACTCGTCTGTGATCCGACCGAGGTCTCATTCAAGGCGGTGACCAAATCAAATAGCGCTTCTGCGAGGGTAATTCTCGGGCGGTATGGCGACTCGTCTCTACAGCGATCATCCCGGCGGTAGTTGCTCCTTGAGTCCTCGTTCCGACCGCTATCGCGTCGACGGCCACCATCTTGACCGCTGGAGCGTCTCACCGAGGAGTCACGTTTCGATTTCCGGTCCCGACGTTTCAAAATGTCGTTGATCATATCCTCGAGGTTGTGAATATCCTTGACCCGTACGTGGCACAAACGCTCTTCGAGACCTCTGTCGTCACACGTATCGAGGGAATGCTCCACGTGGTCTTTAGCGTCACGGCCACCATTTTCGAACTGTACCCCCGCATTACGGGCGTAGCCATTTAGCTGGTTGAGGTAGTCGCACACATGTTATTTGTCCTCACGCTTACCTCGCCTTTGCAGACTGGTTGTACTTGGAACAGTAGTACTTGATGAACGCGTCGCTCAAGCGTTTCCACGTGCGACGGGTCTTGCGCGGTAATTGTCGGTACCAGTGCAAGGCTCCGTCCTGTAAACTTAACTCGAATGTCTGCACCAGTCGTTAGGTGGGGTGTGGGTTCCTTTCATTTCGTATATGAAAGTACCTAGCCACTGCATGGACTTTTCGCTCTTGTTTCGGTAGTCTGAGAATGCCTTGGTGTTACCCAGCGGCAAGTGAGTCGTAATCTCGATCCTGGGGGTCGAGTTCTTCTCTTCCTTCGCGCTCAATTCGCGAATTTGTCGTTCCCACTCCTCGGTCAGGTCTCCTTCTAGATGGTCGACGTCCAAAAGGTCCGTCCCATCATCTGACGAGTCCTCGTTCAAGTCATATCGACGGTCTGGCTGCTGGGTCGGACCCTTGTAAGTGTTAGGAGTCGGCTGCGAGGCCTCGTTCTCCATCTCCACTGGGGCCTGACGACTCGCAGACCTCGGGGTCACCATGTGCGAGTCATGCATGTATGGGGATCCCTTGGATCCGAACACGCCTGTCGAAGGCTCGTCCTGTTTGACTGGGGTTCGAGGTAGTGGGACTTGCGAAGGGACGGCCGGCATGAAAGCTTGCCGGGTTACCACTTGACGGCCTGGAGCAATCTCCTCCACCCCGAACGCCGCACGCAATTTCTTCTTCCACTTGCGTAAGGCGATGCCGGCATCAG